GATGCGGGACTCGATCCTGGGACTCCAGGATCATGACCTGAGCCGAAGGCAGTCGCTTAACCAACTGAGCCACCCAGGCGCCCAAATTCTAACATTCTTGATGAATATTTGCGACACAAATATGATTTGAACCCCAGAGCTGTTGTGAATCTAAAGAGTCAAAGATTCTCAAACTCTTCCTATAAATAAAGAACCTACAGATGTCTCAGGGATTTATTTTGCCTTCTCCCCATGCTGTTGAAGAGGAACGTGCCAATGAGCCTCTTCTGTTTGACAAGGCTATTTTACAAGCATGTGAGACTATTTGGAATACAGACGTGTTCTATGAAACATTTTTTCCAGGGAAACACATAAGACAGGCAATCAGAATTGCAAACTTTTAAGTGCGTGGGCCCAATTACCCAGAAATAACCTTTGGAGACCAAGGATCGTCAGAGGTTTACTTCAACAGATACTACTACCAGAGACAGGGCTATGCATTTATACCTCCCTTAGTCATCCCTTCTAAACATGAGAGCACGTTAGTGATTTTATGACTATTCTCAATTCACCATTTCATTGGAATGAGCTTTATGATATGGAAAAATGTTGTCTTTCCTGCAGCTCCTATTTATTTCTGAGATTTCTTTCGTCAACTGTGGGCAAAACCTGCTGTTGTTTTGCACTCAGCACTGAAATTGCATTTGTTAGTCAGGGGAGGAGAAAAAAGCAGACTTAAAAGCTTAAACTTAAACATTGAATGGGAAAAAACAGAACAGGATTGTTGTCAAATGGAATCTGGGACAAGTAGTGTTCTGCATCTACACTTGATCCAGACGATGAAGTTAGCACTGTTTAACTGGGTGAAAATACCCTGATTTAAAATAATGCAAAGCTTGTTCCTACTGATCTCTCCCTGGGACAGACCAAGCTGGGGAGCACTGCCTTTCTGGAAGTGCCATTTCGGGAACATCAAAGGCAGATATCTCCAAAATAGACAGTTTTGGTCTCTGGGGTTGTAGATGCCTGAGGCTCTGTGTGTCCTTCAGTGGAGAAAAGATGGAGTAACAGCAAATGAACCTCATTTGCATCCTTTTTGCCCCCCAATAATTCATCTTTGGCAATCTTCTTTATCTTATTCTTTTTTATTTTCTAACATTTCAAATTTTCTTCCTTAGGCCACAAGAATGATCTTTGTGGCTTAAAATTTAAAATTGTCCTTCACAGTTGACTACTTGGTTTAGGTGCGGTTTTTGTCCATTCAGCAAAAAGCACCTAAAAGGTTCTGAATTCTCTCCTTAAGATAGGAAGTGCACTGTGTATATGTACAGAGGCTAAGATTCAGTAGTATCAACATATTCATAACTGTTAGCGTCACCTTCACCTCCACCTCGACCATCACTGCCTCCACCAACAACACCCTCACCGTGACCAAAATTACCATCACCACCACTGTGACAACCATCACCTCCACTACGACCACCATTACCACCACCTTCACCACCACCATCACCTCCATCACCTCCACCACTGCTGCCACCACCTCCACCATCACTGCCTCCGCTACCACCTCCACTACCACCTCTACCACCATCACCTCCACCACCATCACCTCCACCACCGCTGCCACCACCTTCACCACCACCATCACCTCCAAAACCTCCACCACTGCTGCCACCACCTCCACCATCACTGCCTCCGCTACCACCTCAACCACCACCTCTACCATCACCATCACCTCCACCACCATCCCCTCCACCACTGCTACCACCACCCCCACTACCACCTCCACCACCACCACCACCTCCACCACCATCACCTCCACCACTGCTACCACCACCCCCACTACCACCTCTACCACCACCA